GACAGAGAGAGAGAGAGAGAGAGTGTGTGTGTGTGTGTGTGTGTCTGGTTAATACGAGAATTAAGGTAATGTACTTAAAGTCCCAGGCATGATAGCAGATACATAAAAAGCACCCCATAGATGATGCTAATATTATTTTAAAATGTGGGTGCCCTGGAAGTCCTCAGACTTGGGAAGAAAAAAGATAAGGATTAAAATAGGCAATATAAATGTGACTAACCATGAAAACAAGTACTGATTTACTTCTTGCTATTAGTGTCTTGAGCATTGTGAAAAAAAATAATATATGTCACTAAGCAAATTAAAACTAGTAAATTTGAGGATTTTTTCCCGTACTAGTAGATTTGATTAAAATGGTTATCTTTGTTTTCTCCCCCCCAAAATAACTCAATTTTAAGGATGTATCACTGAATATTTTCCAGGAAATATAAACACACCATGTAGATTCAAGTTCCATGTAGATTGAATAAGAGTAAAACCTTGGTTTGGGAGCATAATTCGTTCCAGAAACATGCTTATAATCCAGAGCACTTGTATATTAAAGCAGATTTCAAGAACCGTTGGCTCCGTTTTGATCATGTGATGTTCAGCGTCACGTACTGCTCATCTTGAGGAACGCTCACAGAACAAGTTACTCGCAACCCAGGGTTTTACTGCTTCTTTCAGAGTAATTGCGATAGTGTTAAAAAATTCTTACCTTTTAAAATTGCTATTACTATAGGGGCGCCTGGGTGGTTCAGTTGGTTAAGTGTGTGACTTCGGCTCAGGTCACGATCTCATGGTTCATGGGTTCTAAGAGCCCCACGTCAGGCTCTGCTGACAGCTCAGATTCTGTGTCTCCCTCTCTCTCTGCCCCTCCCCTGTTCACACTCTGTCTCAAAAATAAATAAACGTTAAAAAAAATTAAAATTGCTGTTACTATAATTCATTTCAGTGCTTTGCAGAAAATCATAGTATGAAAGTTAGGGTTTTTTATGCTTAGCCACATTTAACAGGTTTGTTCTTATTCTCTGTGTCTTGGAAGAGATGTTCTGAATTATGTTTTATATTTAATAACAGCTTAGCTGGATGTCACTTATTTGCTTTACTTTTTAAAATAATCATTTTTATGTTATATGCAGTTCTAGTGCAAATCTGAGTTTTTGTCATATTTTTTTAATGTATTCTGTTGGGTACAGGAGAATTTTAAAACTTGCTTATCACAGATTTAATCTCTCTCTGACACACACACTAGGCAGATGATGTTAGCGCTCTCCTGACAGCAGCCATGCCCCCTTCTGCTCTGCCTTCATGTTATAAACCTCAAGTGCTTAATGGTGTGAGAAGCCCAGGAGCTACCGGAGATGCTCTGTCTTCAGGTCCATCCAGCCCATCAAGTCTTTCTGCAGCCAGCAGTCTTGACAACTTATCTGGGAGTTTTTCTGAACTGTCTTCAGTAGTTAGTTCAAGTGGAACAGAGGGTGCCTCTAGCTTGGAGAAAAAAGAGGGTGAGAATAACTTTCTAACTCGTATTGTAGCCGCCTAGTTGTCATTTAGAATGCAAACAAGTCATGTTTTAAATACAACTGTTACTATCAGATTAATTAGCATAGCCTTAACATTTTAGTCTTTCATTGTTTTCTTTACATTATGCTTTCGAAAGGTTTAGATGGCTTGTGCTTGAGTAGTTATGCCTTTATCTAGTCCAGTATATTATTACAGAGTTAGGAAATATCTTTACTCCATATCAGAATACCCAGTTGTGAAGATCTTTTTTTTTTAAAGGAAAGTAAAAGACAGCATACTTGCGGTCTCTATAAAGCTGTTCTCTTTACCTTTTACCTGTCAAAATTCATCTCACCTTATGTAACATTGTGGAACTTGTTTTCATAAACTTTTTTTGTGAAGTAGCTTATATCCTCAAAGATAAGGAAACTTTTTGAGTGGAAATATAATTGACACACTAGTTTCAGTATGGGCACTTATTTTAAAGATACAGTTAAAAATAAATTTTTTTAAATGAAATGTTTTTTTTAACCTGAAAGTGCCCCATTGGCTGTTTCTTCTATGATGTTGAGATTTTGTAGCTTTCTCTTTTTGCAATTTTTGATGCAATGTTTTGCTTCGTCTTTGCATTCTTGATGTGTATAGTAATACCACATAACCTTGTTGCTAAAATGTTGATATACCTTATTCTGTTTGTTTGTTCTGGATTTTTTATTTTCCAGTTCCAGCAGTAGATTTTAGCATAACTCAATTTGTAAGGAATCTTGGGCTTGAGCACCTGATGGATATATTTGAGAGAGAACAGGTGAGTAAACGAATTGATTTGCTTGGTTTGGTGTTCTGTGAGACCTCAAGAAAAAATTAGGACATCCTTGAAGTGCCTTAAACCATTCAACTGTTCGTGGGGAGAGGAGAATGTTTTTTTAAGGGACTGGAAATCAGTTAACTCTTCTAATTGGGCTTGATCTTGGAATTTCTGCTTAGTTTATTAGCACATACAAATGGACTCTCATGAAATAAGAAGTACATGGAAACAAATGAAAATACACATTCTTTTAAGTGCACATGGGACATGCGCCAGAATAGGTCACATATTAAGTCACAACATCAGGCCTCAACAAATGCAAAAAGATTGAAATCATACCATGCGTATTTTCTGACCACAGCGCTTTGAAACCAGGTCAACCATAAGAAAATTTTTGGAAAGACCATAAATACATGGAGATTAGACAACATGTATTAAACAATGAATGGGTCAACCAGGAAATCAAAGAAGAAATTTAAAAATATATGGAAAAATGGACTGTGGTGTAGTAATAGTAAAATAGCTTTCCCAAATGGAAAGCTTAGCTTATTTAGCCCTTAAAATAAGTTATCCTTGAGCTTGGTTTGTTTAGTTCAGTTGTGTCACTCATTGCCTGCTCTGAGTCTGACACTTCGCTAGCCACTATGGGAAGGTCTATAGATATGCTAAGTATGTATCTGGGCTTTTCCAGAGTAGTCCCAATTTATGCCATCAGAATACTGGTGTTTTTTCTTTTTCTTTTTTTCTTTTTTTTGGTTCAGAAAATATAGTTAGTATAGACTTGTACTCCTAAGGAACTTTTGATCTACTTATGGAGCTCTAACAACATATGAAGAAATAAGTTTTGGGCATAGATTTTAGAAATTCAAAGGGAAAAAAAAGGTTATTGCAAGCTGGACTACTCAGGAAAAGTTTCATGGGAGACGTATAAATAAAACAGGATCTTTAGAATGTCTTCAGTTTCACAAAGTGCAAATAAAATATTAGAGGGTAAAGAAATAGTTTGAACCCTGAGGTACAAGTACCAGTTAGCATAGTCTGGAGTCTGGAGGAACCAGTGAAGGCCTTGTATAAATGGGTGGGTTGTGGAGTGATAGTGGAAAAGACAAAATAGAATACCTGAATGTGATTAACTTGAAAGTACATTTTTGTTTCGCAGCTTAATTCGGTTCAGGTTCTTATGTTAAATGAAAATAACGCTATTTTTTGGTAGTGCATGACTGAACTTCAGTTAGCTGCAACTTTTCGGTTTCTGTTTAACAACTGGTTTGCTTTCATTTCTAAGCTGTTCAAAAAAATCTAAAGTAAATGTTTGAATCTAATACATTGTGAGAACACCAGTATGTGAATGTCTACCAAATAGAAGTCTTCTAAACAGTTTCATCCTCTTTTGTAAGATCACCTTGGATGTGTTAGTTGAGATGGGGCACAAGGAGCTGAAGGAGATTGGAATCAATGCTTATGGACATAGACACAAACTAATCAAAGGAGTCGAAAGACTTCTCTCTGGACAACAAGGTATTTCATTTTAAATCAGTGCTAACAATTTAATGGTTGGTATAAAGGCAGCCCTCAACTTACTAAATGATAATTTAAAATCTACGAGAGAGAGTCCATTTAATAGGAAGAGCAGTGATTAGAATTTGTGAAACCTGGTATCAGGTCTTAATGCTGCTACTGTTAAGTTTACTGAGCTTCTGCTGTTAGTAGGTGAACTTAAGTAAACTTTCTGGGCTATTCAGAAGTTCGGGAATTGCTTTAGCTCTGAAGTATTTTTCTTAAGTATTCAGTTACTTCTGAAGTTATTCTAGCCCTAAAATTATGAGTCTAAAAGATCAGAAACTTGAATATCTTTCTGTCTTATGATAATATAATAGGCAATGCCTAGGCATTGAGGTGTGCCCATAAAATAATGTTGTAAATCTCTTTTTTGTTGTATGTAAATGGCTAAATTCTTTAGCACTTGCTGTGAAAGTACTGGGAAACAGTGTTGTAACTGAGAACACTTGACAGAACAGCATTGAATAATATCTTTATTTCTTCTGAACATTACTTAAAGAAAATGCAAATTGCATTTGTTCAACAGATGTTAACATTTCCCGTGTACCAAGTCCCAGGTATGAAAAGGTGAATTGTTCTAAATATCAAGGCCGCATTTTTAACTTAATTGTTAAACTAAGGGTGTGATTTACCCTGTCTGCGGTCAGACACATCCTGTCATTGAAGTCCTGGCTGTACAACTGGAGTTGAAGAAAAACCCAGACTAGCAAAAATGAAGAGCTTTTCAGGGAAGAATGTATGGTAGGCAGGGTAGGGGCCATCTCTTGAAAAGGAAAAACTACCTCTAAAAAGTAGGTGACTGAAGCTAAGCAATACTTTACACTGGAATTCTGGAATAGAATCGATTGAAAGTGGATGCACTTTACTTTCCTGGTAGGGACTAGGGCAAAATGTTTAAAATATGAGGTAGTCTGGGATGTGTCTAGTATAGATGACAAAATTGTATGAGATAAAGAAGACAGAAAACCCGTGACTCCCTGGAATGTTAGTATACAATATAAAAAGTATCAAAAATGAAGAGAAACTAGAACCTGCAGTTGTAGACAGCCAGCCATCATGACTCTACTAGAATAATACCAATCCGGTAGGATAGAAATTACGGTGGAATACTGGAATAACAAGGGTCACTTATGAAAGAGGCAGGTTAAAAAGGAAATCGGACAGTGTTTGTTCATTAAACATATAGTGTCTGGGACACAGTTATTAAGACTGCATTGAAAGGCTCAGGAAACAATGACAGAAACAGGCACACCGCCTCCAAGTGGCAGAGGTGTGTAACTCTGTGCCACTTCTGGTCTGTGGTCATTCTGATACATACAGCTGCAATCGCAAAGGATCATTCACTCCCACGTGGAGGAGAAATGTCACGACGCAGAATGACTGTGTCTGCTCTAGCACGTCAGGGTCTCTTGCCTACATAAAGTTATCACCTTCCTTGTCTTCATTTGAAGCGAGGATTCTATACCTACATTCTACCTCGTTTGCAAAGTGGAACCCGTGGCAGTCTTCTGACAGTCTCTCATTTTGCTGGCTTAGACTTAGCTCTCATTCAGTGCATCAAGTCAATACATTACTTGTCCTGATCTTTTAGTGTTTATAAGACATCTTGGGGTGATCCAGAGATGGTTTGGTCAAGCGTGTGTCATGGTCTTTATTCTGGTAAGTCTTTAGTGTCTGAAATATTCTTCTTTGTAAAGTCTCCATACTTCCTGTAGATAATGTACTTCAGACAATGTAATTCACACTACATACCTGATAAGTCTTTATCAGAGTTTAGCATCTGGTGGTGGTCTTGTTATTCAGACCAGACCCAGAACTAGAATAGTGCCCTTAGTCTCTACACTCACACTGCCATGCATTGACCCAGCAGTAATGGATTTGAGCCCTACCTGGAAAAACAGCAGAGCTTTAGAGATCTTGTAGAGACTGAAGGAAAGGTTTGTTACAAATACATGGAAGAAATTAGAAAATTCTGTTTAAAATTCCACTTGAAAAGTTTTTGTGAGAGTAAAGGTACAAAATACATAGTTGTCTTGACCATTGACATTCAGAAAACACAGCATTCATTGCTGAATTAGAGACTGTGAGGGGTTAGAATAAGCATTCAGGGAACGCCTGGGTGGTTCAGTTGGTTAAGCGTCCAACTCTTGGTTTTGGCTCAGGTCATGATCTCCTGGTTTGTGGGTTCAGGCCTCGCATCGGGTTCTGTGCTGACAGTGCAGAGCCTGCTCAGGATTCTCTCTCTCTCCCCCTACCTCCCCCCTCTTGAGCGTGCACACATTCTCTCTCACACAAACTTCTAGGTAAATAAATAAATTGAAAAAATGAAAAATGAAAAACAGAATAAGCATTCAGTAGTCGGTAAACTATGGAGTGTCATTCTAGGATCATTTAAAATTACCTGAAACTGTATAAATTTCTGTCATAATTCTTCCTCATATTTACAGAAATTAAAGAGACTAAATGCTGAAAGTGCTGAGTAGTTAGTAAAGGAAATAATCTGAAGAAGAAATTTTGTGACAACCTCCTTAAGGATAACGGGTAAAGAATAGAAAGGTTTTTCTGAATTATTCCCACAAAACCCTTACAACTTGTTGTGTCAAAATTAGCAACCTAAATGCAGTGTGGTGTTCTGGTTTGGATCCTAAAACAGAAAAAGAACATTAATGGGAAAATCTAATGAAATCCAAATAAATTCTGTAATTTACTTAACAAGTGTGACCAGTGTTGTACTGTGGCTATATAGAATGGGAGCATTGGAGGAGCATTAATATTCCTAATGGTGACATTAGGAAGTTGAGTAAAAGGTACACAGGGACTCTCTACGTGATGTCAGGCTTTCTGAAAATGTAAATTAGTCCAAAATTAAAAGTTTTTAAAAATAGGTAGTAAGCAAGAAAAAAAAGTAGTAAGCATCAGATAAATCAGGTGGCCATTTCGGGTTGATGTTAATTGGAGGGGATGGGGACTTGGCGTTAATTTTTTTTTTTACCTTCAAATTTTATTTACTAGGTCTTAACCCGTACTTAACTCTGAACACCTCTGGAAGTGGAACAATTCTCATAGATCTATCTCCTGATGATAAAGAGTTTCAGTCTGTGGAGGAAGAGGTATGTTCATATACCTTAAATAAATGTTGGTTCAATAGCTGAACTTCCTAGAGGTTTCCAGATCTTGAAAATGTAATAGGATTTTAATTGTCCCTAACTCTTTACCACCTGGATGAATGTTCAAAATCAGCGTTCAAGGTACACTCCCTCAATAAACCTTGAATCCAGTAACTTGGTTCAATACTACAATTAATACTGACACAGAATTCTGTTGGAGAAGAGTTTACTATCATTTGGGGGGG